TTGTAGAGATTAAAGGAATTGGGTGTAATCAGTAACTGTATGTAAAATCTAGTTTCCTGTAAAGTAGAAAAGTTAATAACCCTGAAAGAAAAAATCCAATGCTCATTTTTAATGGTGATGTTCCATAATAATTCACCTCCTCCTCCCAGGAGCCTCCTATTCAAACCAAATGTCCTTTTCATAAATTCCTATAAGAAATTATAAGCCAAATTGTACAAAAGCTGATATACATTCTGTTTAGAATGCTATACGTTAAGAGTTGGACCTGAAATTAAGGGACAGATAAGAATATAGGTTTCTCCCACAATGTTCCTGCAGCCTATTGGCAGAAAAATAAACACTTGACAATTAGACATTGGATATAATTATACGTTAATATATTAACCTTATATTAAAATATTTTACAGATTGATATGTACATAGCGTTGGTTATAAAAACCCACACCGCACATTCTTTTCCTTATTCTATTTCATAGTCTAACCTAATACCCCTTTAATGAGAACAGGGCATTTAAAAATGATTAAAAATGAAAGTTTTTGTTTATTTGCAATTTTATGTTTTAATAAACCTAACCAATGAGTTTACAAAATAATAATTCATTACTTTTTTACCCAAACATGCAAAAGAAAGTTGAAAAGCAGTCAGAGTATGTATTCCATTTTGTAACAAACTAACTAGATTTTGAGTTCACAATATCAGATCAAGTTAGATCTCTTTCTCCATTGACCTCAAATGTTCTTCTAATTTGCATTCTTTTCTTCATTTTTTTAAATTTTAGAATGAAGTGAATATTCAAATTCTTGAATCAGAACTTGCTCTCTTTTGGTGCCCTCAATCACCCGAGTTTATATCTGATCTTTTTTCTTAAGTATCAGTCCACTGATCTCTTGAATGTTTATTTCCTATTTTTTATTGACCATGGTAATAAGAGGAATGTTCTCTCTTTTTTTTAATACGATTTAATATTTTCATCCTTGCAATTTTATAACAAGTCTCATTATCAAGTTATCGTCTTGTTACTTACCATCGATAATATTAATTCTCAAGTGAAATAAATAATTAAATATCTGCATATTATGAATATCTTGATATCTTGATATTTTGGTGCCGCCAATCTTTTTATGAAACTTGCTGGTAGTCGAGTACACAAATTCAAAAAACAGTGGTGCAATGTGAAATCCTGTGTATTTTGACGGGATTCTTTTGAAGAAGTTAAGATTTTTCTAGTGAAATTAGTTTGAGACTCTTGTTCTGCATTCTTAATTCTGTTTTTACAATGCATTAATTTCTTGAAGATCTTTATGGTGTGTTCTGAACATAGACAAATAATATCACCCATTGTTTCCTATGATTAATACTTTCAGAAGATTGAAAAACTTTTATAAAATCCATAAATATTTTGTAGATATCTAATATTTTGATTTTAGTCACTTATTGACCTTTGATTGTCTCAAAAATTTAACGTTTTAAATGATGTTCCAGTCATTATTATGATTGGGACAGTATGATTATGGTGTAGCAATGTCATTACTATTTAAATATACATAAAAACCCATTTGTTTTGCATTCATGTATTCTACACTAAATTTTACTTTTCACAGATTAATAATAGCCAATCTGCAATGATTTTTGTGGTAAATTTGTAAATTGTACAGAATTGATGATTTTGAACATCAAGAAAGCCCAGCCAGGATAGCCAAGATCAAGACAAAGACCATAGCTGTGAATCCTGCCTCAGACATGAATGTGTGTGCATGTTAGTGTGCGTTCTTCCTACAGGTCCCCTACAGTTAGAGCAAAGTGATCATTATGATCAAGTTGATCAAAAGTAACCTAAAAAAGAACATTAAGAAATTTCATGCTTTAGAGATGGATGAAGAGTATTCAATATGCTAACTAATTTTAAATTTATCATTTGTAATTTCTACATTTACTATTTCATGAACAACCTCACCTTGATGATAGTGTCTGATAAGATTCACACTATGGCACAATGCTCTTATAATTGTCATAGTAATACTTACAGTTTTTGATAAACTAATTGTAAACTTTCCTGATCGAGAAATTTTACCACTCAGAAAAATTTATTATTGCAGTTTAATCCTACTTTATTGTTAATACATATACTTTGATGCATGTAAGATTATCCAGTGGCATCTATGTTAAAAGGGAACTCCATATACTTTGTCACTCCTTGAATAATTTTTTTAAAATCATTAGGATTCTGCAATATTTTACATTAATTTCATTTGATTTATTTGTATTCAAGAACAGCAGAAACTTATTTATGAGGGGGAAGTACAATCCCTTTTTTAAGCTTCACATCTCCCTCACCCCCATTTATTAAACACAGTTTAATGATAAAATATGAACAAAGTGAGGGTTGCATTGTTTGAAAACTACAAACTTTTCCTCCCCAGTGTTAGAAAATTCATTTGTATCTAAACAAAATGCAGATTTTCTTGCTAACAAAATGGCAACCCACATATCCGCCACTACTATCATGACTACCAAAAGGAAAGCTCAGCATTATGTGCTCCTAGTGAAACTACATTTATGTCCAGAAGCAAAACCTCTTGGCATATGTGATTTATCATCACAGCAACATACGTGATTTATCTTAAATGTTTAAATTTTGTTGGCAATGTTCTGAGTAGAGAAGTATTATAATACAAATAACTATAATATGTAATTGAATGTATTGTTGTAAACTAATTTATTATGTGGGGATTTCTTTTGTTAAGTTGTTAGTCCTGATCTGATATTACGATTAGTAAGAAGTAATATATTAATTAAAATTATCTGAATTGCTAGAAAATATGTTCCCAGCCTACAAGTAATTTTTGGTAACTACCGAATCTTACATTAACTTTTACACCTGCAAAATTAAGATTAATATGATTAATACTCAACAAAAAGTTGCATAAAAACTAGTTTATAGTAAATATGAAAATCACTCAATTTCAGCTTTCAATCAAATTTTTATTATCTTGACCCATTAGGCAAATATGTTTACAACTACATTTTGGATAAACACAACCCTGATTACTAAACATTTTTATGCACTAGATTGATTTGAAGTACTGATGACTTATATCCAAGCAATAAGGTGGATTTTAACCAACTTTTTATCACAAATTATTTTATCTTAATCGAATTTAACCCGTATTATATGCTTTTTATGGAATCTACCCAATTTAATTTTTGATTTATTGAGTACTTTTAATTAATTTCTAATAAAATAGAAACCATCCCCTTTCTGAAGATTAATCCCATTCATCTTCCACAATGAGGTTTTGCAACATTCTCTTAAAGAAATCTGGTAGAGTGATAATAGCAATAGTGCTGCACCTAATGTTTATTGCAAGTGAAATTGCAAACTAATTTACATTTTGAAGAAAGAATAAGATTTAAACTTTTTATGCATGTAAGCCAATATTTTTACTTATATTGTATTCGTTTTCACACAAGTGGGAGTTCGTAATACAAGGGGATATCCATAAGGATCACTTTTGAATTAATGCTAACTTCAATTAACAGTTTTCAGCTTTACTACCCTGTGCAACTTGACCCTAAGTAACAATTCCCAATGGTTCAATTTCCTTCCTTTTAAACACACTGTACTGTCGTTTCTCACTAAAGGCCAACTAGTCTACTTTACCTTCATCTGCCCTTTCCCCCCAATATCCATTTTCCTGCAACTAATTTCAATAGAAGCTTGCCCCCATTTGTAGAATAAGGTTGAAAAGTTTCATTTGAATTTCAATAAAGATTTTTAAAATTGCTCTGGCTTCCTTAATTGTTATAGTAATTTGTAAGAATTATCTTTGAAAATACCATGATTTGCAAATATATTGGGAAAATAATCTCCAATGACTTATTACAAAGCAAGACTTTCTTATACTGCTACCTTTTATTACTTTTTTTTTTCTTTCTTCATTTGACTAGCCATCCTATGGAAGCTGTGCAAGTATAGAGGAGGTGAGGATTTCCCTTTTCAGCTTCCCAACATAGTGTTAAAAGAGTTCCTTCACCTAGACATTGCCTAGTCTTGGACATTAAGTTCTGTCTGCCACTATAAGATAAGGAGAGAAATTAATGTACTCTTCTACCTCAAAATGAAGTTTTTCCATGAAAAAATTAAATTTGTTTTCCATTGTTTCTTGTGCATTGAGATTCATGGTTTTCAATAATTAAAACTATTTGTTTTCATTTATTTGTACTTTTCCTAAAGGGTACCACATCCAATATTCAAAAGGATGTGCATACAAACATGTTATGAGGTGTGCTTATGACAAGGAAACTTCAAATACCTTAAATGAGACTACACAATAGTAAAATCAGGAAGAGAAGCTTCAAAGGTGGGAGAAAGGTAAAATAAGTCAAACAGAAGTTGAAGGTGTAACCTATCATCCTCTAACATTTTAGAGTAATTAACCTAAATTTGGCTTTTCTCCAAGTTGCTTGTTATAGAAAATGCATATTAGGAATAATAAATCAATTATTCAATTATTACCAGTAATTTTCTTAATTTTTTAAATTCTAATTCTTGTACAGTACAAACAAGTTAATTATTAATATTCATATTTAGGTTCAGGAAAGTATTATCCAAATCAAAAATGTGTAATGGTTAATGGGATCAGACCGTTTCAGATCATACCCTTTTTCAGAAGGAAAGAGGGCATATTGAATGAAATTAATTTTTTTTTAAATATTTGACTGTTCATTCCAAAATCTAAGAGTGTTTAAATTCAGGTATATGCCACAAACAAAAATTTTAAAACTTAGGTAGAAGAGTATCTTAACTTTGGATCGGTAGCAGCTTTGAAGTTGCTTTAGGCAACAGTTTCCGCCTGTTGGTAATGAACTTACGCTTTTGGGTTGGAGAGAAGGGTAAGGACAGCGGCCAGCTGCTCCCTTTCAGGCGAGAGAAACCTTGTTGGGTGGAGGGTGAAGGGTAAGGTCAGCGGCCAGCTGCTCTCCTTCAGGCGAGAGAAACCTTGTTGGGTGGAGGGTGAAGGGTAAGGTCAGCGGCCAGCTGCTCTCTTTCAGGCGAGAGAAACCCTGTTGGGTGGAGGGTGAAGGGTAAGGTCAGCGGCCAGCTGCTCCCTTTTCTGATAGGAGAAACCAAAATTAGACTATTTATCGAGGAAAACTGAATTCGTTAGTTTCCTTCAAGCTGCTGATTCCACCCATAGGAACCTGGAGGTAATTAACATTATGGAGATATGAAGGACGGCTATTGTCGTGGAAGTAGGGATTTAGTCAAGCGGGAGGGGAAGTCCCTTTGTGAGGTTCTTCCAAATCCTGCCCACACCTATCACGAGTCCTTTAGAACTGTTTGTATATAACAAATCCGCCGAAGTAAAGAAACAAAGTTACATGAAAAGGAATGGAAGAAATTCCTTAAAAATAGAATATGATATCCAAATTTCATGCAGATATCAATGAAATACAAAAAGATACGGCTACAATAAAAGTTTTAGTCATGAAACTTTTCATGAAAAATTAAGAGAGGTAATGGTACATAACATTACTTAAAGAACTCTGGACTTCTAATGTAAATGTAAATCATTTGTATACTCACAAAAGATACAAAAACAACTTTTGGCACTAGGTTAACGGTGCGAGTCAAATCCAGGAAAGAGTAACAAATTGCCTAACTTATTTCGTGTGATGCAGGTGCCTCAGAAATTACTCTTGTATCAAAACTTATACTGTCCAAAGTCTCAGTAAAAATTCGTAGCGCCGGCAGAAGAAAATGTCGCTGAACTGAACAAACTAATCCCCATTAAAAGAAACGAAATAATCCATGTTCTTAGAAACTAAGAATGATGAAATAATAATCTTCGAACACGTATCTGAAAAATCTCATTGTTATACTACTTCCATCACACAATTTGAACAGTTAAGATGTTCCCGAAGATTGGAAACCGTCCTGAAACTCCTATTTAAAGGATAATATAAATCAAACTGCAAATCATAGAAGGAACTCCACCCTACTACTAACAAAATCTATGAAAAACTTAGACAAACCTACATGAAAGGTTTGAGTCAGAAGAATTAGTAGAACTAAGAATTTGAATTTGCGCTGCCAATACACTCTACTTGAAATTTTTAATCTGAATTCAATACAAATGTGTATATCCAGACATTTGACGAAGTAGCCGGCAATCTTATGGGACATACGGAAGACTGGTGTAAGAGTATCGACAAGAAATCAGCAATATGATAAGAACAAAGATTATCAAAGAACAGGACGTTAATCACGAGTTCAGCAATGCTGCACAATTTCACTCCTAACCTAAATATTTTTAGACCATTTAATACGAGTCTTAAGAATTGTAAAATGATTTTTAATACAATCAATGACGCGGCTGTTCGCAGGCGAGTGATCTCCGATCTCTAATAGTCGAAATTGACTCCATATGGCATGTAAGTGTAACACGGCAACTTGCTAAAGTGCTCTGACGAAATTTTAGAGAAAACGCTGTAAGATCTGAAGCTCAAATCGAAAATGAAACTATACAGCAAGTTAATTTAATTTGTTGGCGTCATACTAACATATGGGTACATCAATTAGAAAAATATAAATATTTGATTTCAAAGGAACAATTAGGCGAATTTGTCCGTTATAAAGGACATACACTTATAATTTACGAAGAATTGTCAATTCCACTGCTCAAGCGAAGTGAAAATTCCATGACAATATAATCAAGCACTAAGGCTACATTTGTGCAGTCAGTGGTAGTTTAAGTTCAATGAATAATTTGATGTAACAATTAGAAATATTCCTTTTGTGGTATGCAAAATGGAAAAGGTCTTAGAACGAAAAATCAATTGCATTATGAAAAATTTAACAAAGTGCCGTTCTTTAAATTTCAATCTAAAAAGAGAAATTAAAAGATGAAATTTCGGCGACAATGATGACCTATTTCTTCTTAAGATTACCGACTTAAAATTTCTCGTTTCCGGTTTCATTTGGAAATTGTTCAATTTCTAGAATCAATTAGAAGTAGTCTGAATGCCGAATAAGAAGTTAATGCAACGTTACTTTTAATTCTATGTTTATCTATATCAAGATGAGAAATCATGCTCAAGATTAAGCTGGCAGAAGTCCGAGATCAACATAGCCGGCCCCGCAGGTCGTTGCAACACACAACCTGTAATCAAAAAAACATTAATGCTCATACCTTCCATTTTCTCTTTAATTTGTAATAAAAGTATTAATTCTAATTGTTTACCATTTTTCAAAATTAAAGTTATCAGTGAAGCATCATATTTAAAGAATTAGTGTACTCTTGCAAAAGAGGTCAAATTGTCAACCATTTACTAAATTTTCCCCAAACAATTGTTTCATTACTCTTAATACCCATTACCATACGTACTTCAACATTTTCACATTTCCTCATTTACTTTTAAGTGGTTATCCTTGTCTTTTCAACCTTTATTTCATGTCTGAAAACAGATCAAACCGAAGTTTGTCTTTGAAGATCTTTTATGTCTGTTCTCAGATGGTTGGATGAATACCTGAAACATAAGAAATATCGGCAGATATCTGTTCACAAAAATCGACACATCTACAGAGTTAAAAATGTTTAACTATGAAGCATGTATCGATGAATTATTCGCCAGCGCAGGAATAAGGAAATGACCGACTCTAGAATGAATTTAACCTTTTTACTTTAAAAATGCATTACATTTCTTACATATAATTTACACTAATACTGAAAAGTTAATATTAACTAATTAAAGACCAATTGCGAAAAACATTCTGAAAGAGGAAAAGTTAGGAAGTCCTGAAAAATAAGCAGAATTAAAATGTTATAAGCACATAAGAATTGCACAATGACCATTTGATTTCTGTGGTACATTTCTCAGAAAGTTCTATCTTTTGTAAAAAAGTGATATTCCCTTAAATTACGTATTACACCACGTACATATATGGGCTTTAAAATTTATATTTTCACCTAGTGACTTTTTTGCACGTCTGCGCGCGGACTTAAGTTCCTGAAATAAAATCTGTTAGTTTTTATTTTAAAAATATCATACAGTACAAGTGTAAGTCGATAACATTACCCCTGTTTCAAGTGTGCTGTCCGCAATATTTTTCCATCGAAGGATGACTGAACGATGGGCAAACGTTCAGTTTTCCTTCCGATGGAAAGGCGTATTCCAATTCAATAAGTACTCCTATTTAACTTTTTACAAGAAAAGTATTTTGCAAAGTCACAAATACTTCAAGTAAAAGTAAGAGCGCAAAACCGAATTGAAACACTCCCTAACACTTAACCTACCCACCCTGCCCTGTGAGCCACGTGGGCGTGTCCCTCCTAAATCGCCAGTTGCACAGAATGACCTCCGCTCTTGAACGGCGACCTAGACTATGTCCAGAGGAAGTCATCTGCGATCATTCGATGCAGAATGAGAGGACAATGGCATCTCGCAGGTCAAAAGGTTTCCATCCCGTCAAAGTTGCCCCAAATCTCTATGACGATGCATGCAAGTGCAATAGGATCCACACAGGATACCTAATATGGCTAAACAAACCGCTGTGATATTACTAGCTAACGGGCCTGCAGTCTCCTACATTTGCCATCCCTAATCTAATGCTTGTACTAATTTTATATTTCAATAAATATTCTTTATATTTTAGCATTTCATCATTTATCTCAAATTGTAAATTAAAGAGCTTTATTTATATTAAATGACCTCTAACCATTTAAATTTTATTATCAATTCAAATTTAAGTAAATAATTACCAGCAACTTCAGTAGCTTATCTACAACTAATCTTACATTTAAATTTACTCTGATTCAATAAACAATTAAGTTCATTTCAGAAAAAGACTGCAGTAACCAGCAATAATATTAACAGTGGCGGCACGAATACTTCTTAAATTATCTGAGCGGAGCTAAAGACTGCACGAGGAAGAATTACCCTCCCAACCTGCATTCGAACGAAATGTGGGGCCAGCACGAGTGGTATCTGCTACTTTACCGTGTTCCTTTTGAATCATTTTATCATTTCCTCTATCGCTATTTACTTAGTTTGTCTTCCATTTTTATAATTTATTAATACACTTCAACGCGGTAATAACCGTAGTGACAATTTATTGATGTAACAAACTGGTATTGTATTTAAATTAGCCATAGGCCATTTCTAATACTGGTTTCCATATACGTTCATATCAATTCTCTTAGATTTGAACGAATGTGGTTCGTAGTATATGTGGCCTTGCTTCCTGTAAACCAGCTCCGTCGAGGCCCAGCGAGTGTGGCTAAACCTGTGTCATCCATCGTGCAGCGGGAAGGTACGCAAACGGCCGGGCCGCTGCGAGGTCAAAGGAAGAGATCAGGAGGCCTAGGACGGGCTTGGAATACTCCGCCCAGAACCTCACCGAATCAGACTCCATCGGCGTCGGGACAAAGATGCTTCTCTCTGCCAGGGGGCTATGCTACCATAACCTGTGGTTTGAACCTATTCTATCCTATGCTTACTAATTCATCATTCAGTCTCATATCCTTAAGAAGTGTATCATATCCTAACCAGGCAAATTTCATACTTAAAAACTATACTTTATTGGGCTGTCTTAGTAAACTGTCCTTTGAACAGTTATGAAGTACGTTATCAAGTTTTTTAATTTTTTTGTTTAATACTCTGAATTCCTTTATCGCTCTCTTCGCAACTATTGCTACACTTTAAATATGTTCAATCAAGTTAGTACTGTAATGAAGTTCTTAAATCTTAACCTGCAAATAGTGACGCATCTGTATTTGCATTGGATATGTTCATTAAATTTGTACTACAGATTGCAACTTTAGAAGAAAGCTTGTAATGGCATTTTGCATGTTTACTTTAATGCTATTTGAATAAGGATTTTTACACTTCCTAGATTTTTAAGAGTTCTCTAACCTGCGGGAAAAAGGGGTCGAGAACGTCGAGAAGAACTGCGTCGAGAAGACCAAGGCACAGTGCAGCTAAGAACAGGAAACCACGTCACCGTCAACAACCTTTAGTATCTTGCAAGCACTTTTCACTACGAATTCACTTGATCACTTTAGATTCATTCGAACCTATACACTTTACACACAATTTTCTCGAAATGCTTTTAGCGTGACTTTATTGCACTGCACTTCACTTGGACACATAGGACACTCCACTACCTAAACCTACACTTCGACACTTTTGACTTCCATTTGCAACACAATTAGTAAAATAATCACATTCCTGCAGCACCTCTACATTTTCACGCACAATTCCAACCTAACTTAACATTTTTAAACTCAGACATTATTTGCATGCAAAATGTGAATCGACATAGTTAAATGCACCTTAAAACTTACACATTCATTTCTACAACCATGCCCATACCGCCCCGCGGCCTGAACAACAGTTTCAGAGCACACGTTACCTACGTTTACCTGCGGTTACCTTTCGCGACTTGCCGTCAAGTGAACGACGCGGCCAGACTCGGCGCGGCGGTCGCAGAACAGAAGCCATCGCAGCTCCTCATGGCGAGAGATTCAGCGCTTCGGAAACGCAAGAAAAATGCTCAATTTAGAAATTGGTGTATTATAAGAAATGAAATGAATATTTCTAAACGTATTAGAATATACAATGTACTTGCAATCATATAATGGGTAATTTTTTTTCGAATACAATCCTCTCAGAAAATACAAAGAAATTATAAAGGACTAGAGACTGTAAGAAGATGCAATTTCTTTCTACAAATTAAAATATAATATATTAAAAATTATTATATCAATTATTGTATTAAATCAATGAATTAATAATTAATGAAATACCTGGTATTAAAAATACAATTATATAGTTTAATAATGTTATTTTTCCCAACTTCAATACTTTACTTTTCCAATATTAAGTAGAGGTAAGGTGCTATATGAGCCATGTATACAATACTAGCGGAACCTGGCAGAAGTTCGCCCTTCATCACCCTCTTTCTCCTTCGCTTCTACCTTTCTCTCTCCGTCCTCCCTCTCTCGTCTCTCCCTCTCTCTTTGTATCTCCTCCTCTCTTCGCCACTCCTCTCTCTCTTCGTCTATCCCTTCAGTCTCTCTCTCCATCTCTCTTTCCCTCTTGCTCTCCCTTCTCTTCACTCTCTCTCTCGCTCTATCTCTGTCCTTGTCTACACATCGTTGCAGATTCTGCACGTCTCTGGCAGGTGGGATAATATCGAGAGGCGCCGGACCAAGCAAAAGTAATACAATGTTTCAAGAAGTTCTCTTCTGTAGATTACGGTGTGATAAACATTTCTTTCCATGCTTTAATCTCAAAATTTCGTTTTCAATGCCGTAAAACTCTTCGTTTAGGAAATATTTAATGATACAGAGTAAAAATCCTTACGTGTGTTGCAGTTGCATTTGACATTAATATTTACTTTTGTTCTTTTTTTTCGTGAACTTTTTTCTATATTTTAATAGTCATTCTGCTGTTCGGGGCGGAGACGAATCAACAAATCAGATTAATTAAAATTGATGCAGACCTTCTTAGTTATATAAATGTGTAATTAACCCGACATTGTTTTATTTATTTACGAGCAGTTACGTAACAAAATGAGTGCGGACCACACGCAAAACTTTTAACGAGCCCTCTGTAGAAAAACACAAGTAAAGTTAGTACCTTAAGTAATAAAATATCCTTTAACAATTCTAATTCATAAGTAAATGATT